CTCTTCACCTTCCCACGCTCATTCTGGGGGCTAAGGAAATGCTTATCTCCCCGAGTGCGGCCTTCACCAAACCATTCCATCACACCCACCGCGCACCCAGCCATGCTCGCACCAGGCTGCAGCAGCCACCTCTGCACCCTCCGGAGTACCCACTCCCCACCTGCCCACACCCATGCAGCGCTGCAGCACCCCCCACTGCCTGGCTACCCTCCATAGCACTCACCTGCCCGCCAGCTGGCTTGTGAGCCTCCCAGGACTTGCGACTTCCTGCTGGCTTCCCCGTTGACTTTGCTTGTTGGAAGCCAACAAGAAGTCACAAGTCATGGTCACTTGCTTAACAACCCACGATCCTCACTTAATGGGGACTGCTGGGATTGCTATTGCTAAGCAATGTGGTCACGTGACATCACACTTTGTGACCGCATCGCTTAGCGATGGAAAGTTTGGTCCCAATTACACCAGCAATACAGGTAGTCCTCAACTTACTATCACAGTTGGGACCAGAATTCCATCGCTAAGCAATGTGGTTGTAAAGCGTGATGTCATGTGACTACATCGCTTGCAACAGCAATCCCAGCGCTCCCTGTTGCCATTATTAACCGAATTCCACTGGTCGTTAGAGCCACCCCAATCCAAGCCATTCCGGGCTTGGTCCCTCCCAGCCCTGAGCCTCGTTCTTCCAAGAGAAGAGGCTGCCTCTACTTCAGCTTCCCCCAACTGCCTATTCCCTGCCATCTCTGCCCTTTTGGCCCCCCTGCATCCTGCCTTGCAGGGCAGCAAGCAGCCCCAGGACCACATGGCGCAGTGCGAAGTCCTTCACAGCACAAAGCCCAGCCCCAGCTTGGCTCAGCAGTGCAGGAGAAAGCCGCAGCTGCCCCAGCTCAGCCCTAGCTGCAGTTGCCCTCGCCACCCTGCATTCTGAGGCCCCTGCTGCCCTGTGCTCCACCAACCTTCGCTGTCTTCTTGCCCCTGCTGCTGACGAGGCATGCCCAGCCTGGCCCTTCGCAAGGCAGCTGCTGACCACATGAGGCCAGCCCCAGGTCTCATGAGGAAGCTGCCATGCGTGACCTGGGGAAGAAAGCCGCCTGTGGCCAGCAGCTGCCTCGCAAAAGGTCACGCCAGGCATGCTTGGTCAGCAGCAGGAGCAAGAAGATGGTGAAGGGCAGCGAGGGCAGCAGGGCCCATGGAGCGCAGGGGGCTAAAAGGGCATAGATGGGCGGGAGATGGTGGGGGGAGTTGAAGTGCTCCTGCAGTCGTAAGTGTGGCTGGGCTGCCAAGTGCCCGAATTTTGATCATGTAACTGCGGGGGCACTGCAACAGTCATAACTTCAGGGCCTGGTCATAAGTCCCTTCAGGGCCATTGTAACCTCGAATGGTCACTTGAACGAATGGTCGTAAGTCAAGGACTACCAGTAATTACTCATTTGTTCCTCAGCCTTTTCTGAAACCAGCTCAAATGGGCTCTAATTTGCGCTGGGTGACCCTAAGCATTATTTTGCTAGCATGTGAAATTAAGGACATTGTGCAAGTATCGTAGATAGTATTGCACTTCTTTAAGTACTTCTTTGTTTGTGGATGCAAGAGCTTTGCCTGTGGGATCCTTCTCACAAGACCTAATTATGCTTGTACCATAAGAAATAGCCATGCATGAATGGTCTGAAGAATCCAGTCGTGCTAACAACGGGAGGCAGCAGAATGAGGATGCAGTTTGTGAAAGGGAACGCATGGTAGTTTGGATAATGACTATTCTTGATCCTTTCATGGGAAGAAAACCAGTGGAAGGCTGAAAGGTGGTCCTCCAGATGAGTTCGCCATTGCGTGTGCAGGATGCAGTGGTTGCTGAAAACACTGGGGGAATTTCAGCCCATATAACCTCAGAATGATTTGGGGGCTTCTGCTTAGCACCAAGGTTATGCTTGCTTGACTATAACAAGTCAAAACTTCAGATTTCTAGTAGTTTTCCCAGGGGTCGGAATGCACAATCTGTTCCAAATGCCAGGTTATTTCGTAAGAGGACTATAAAAGGTCACTGAAGCAGGTCAACTGCTACCAGCCAGGGCTCAGCTACTGGAAACTTCCAAGGGGACTGGCAAACATTCTTCTGGGAAATCATTTATTGAAAACCAGCACAGTCCTCCCCCAAAGTTCATTCTGGGAGATTGTGACTCGAATCCAAAGAAATAAGGTGAACATGCCAAAAAAAACCCCAAAAACCAAAAACAAACCAGCAAAACCTCCTTGGTTTTCATGTTTCTTTGGTGTCAAACAGCAGCTGATGCTGGGTTTAATTGCTTGTCTTTCTTGCACTGTAGAGAGGAAACCATAGCTTTGGCTGCTGAATGTGAACGTACAAGCATGTCATTAAAAAAAAAAACACCTGTGTGTAGACCAGCCACCTTTTGGTTTGCTCTGGTGTGGATTAGAACCTCTTAGCTACTTCCTTCTCATCTTGCGTTAGCATGGCAGGTCCTGGCCCATTTTTAGTGGCAAGGACTGATAGGTGCATTGTCCTGCTGGTCAAAGACAGAGACAAGGAGGTGGTATTTGTTTAAGATCTCCTGGGACAGAAAATGGATGCCTTATAGACTGACGCCTTGTGAAACATAGGAGGGGTCAATCTGAAGCCTAGGTCGTACTGGAATGGAGATCACCAAGAAATCGTGGGAGTGTAGTAAGACTGAGAAGCAAAGAAGATACCCTGGAAGAAGACAGTGTGAAAGCCTTTGCTATGTTCAGAAGTCTACATGCATGTAGCTGTGTAGTCACCAGGATGAGGGAGTCTGCCTGTTGGATCAAATTCATCAGTGCAAGTCCCAGATGGCGTTTTCCATTGTGGATGACCAGCATCCTCTCAGAAGGTAGACAAATGACTGGAATGACCTGGCCTTTCAAGAAACTACAAGTTGCAGAGGAA